GAGTTAATTTTATTAGTTAATATTTATTTGTGGTATTCTATAAAATAAAAAAAATTAAGTTTGTTCAGAAATGTTGCTATATCTTAAAAACTAACAATTTTAGATATATAACATGCTTAATAAAAGTTGAAGTGGACCGATATGTGAATAAAATAGAACAATAAAATACAGGGTGTTCCATTTGAAAACATTTAGAAAATGTTTAAACTTTCTAAAAATGATCGTATTTTCTCGGAAATCCATATCTTTAAAAATATACAGGACGTTCCACTTCTTTGGCGTGTCCCATTTTTACTCATCGCCCTGTATGTTTCAAATTAATTTTGTAGTTTAGGTTTCTCGATTCTGTGCAACTTTTAAATAAACTTTTTTTCTGTATTATGAGTAACAAGGGAGTTACTTTATTTTCTCACACTAATGGCCCACCCTGTATGTTCATAGAAACTTTCTTCCTTATCTGGCGTTATAAAATACTCCCTCCAAGTTTGATGGTGATTTTTTGTTACACCCTGTATGTTCTAATTCATATAGGAGTTAGAATTCTTATTGAATATTGTTTTTTTTGCTAAGATTACAAATATTGCTATAAAAATAAAACAATTTTTTGCACTACAAATTAACACGATCGAGGATAAAAATGATTATAGATTGATGGAGAAACATCCCTTTATAAATTTGTTCTATAATGAAATTAATTATTTAATTCTGGCAAGCATTTTATTAAAAAATTTAATTCACTTTGATTGTTCAGAAAAAAAAATTGTCCGACATACAGGGTATCTGATAAGTATATGGCATGCTCTCGGGAGTGTACAGGGGAGGTTAAAATAACCCTGGTTTGCTAAAAAAAAATATCCTAAAGTGACCCTTAATGGAGATACAAAGCCCCAAAGGGATACCCAGCGATTACCTTTTCGACTATAACTTTTGAACCGACGTATATAATTTAATGAAATTTTAATATTTTATGTAGGCCATAAAGGCTCATAAAACCATACTGTAGTAGATGTTTTACACTGTCAGGGAAGTCAGGAACGGACTTGCCCTTACACTCATTGGGCCAAAATTTTGGCAGGTGTCATTTTATAGAGCTGAAAACTGAATTTTTAAATATTGATCATTCCTGTTTTAAAAAGGCACCTACATTTGTTTCGATAAAATTAGCCGTTTTCGAAAAAAAATTGTTTTTGTATGACACGTCGTTGAAATAATAAATCAGAATACTGCAATAAAACACCAGTTATTTTTATGTCGTTAATAATGTGTTATTGACAACACTTATCAAATGCTTTTGGTTTCTCAGCCATACAAAAAAAGTCCTCACTCAGAAACTAAAACTACCATACTTCATGTATTTTATCGTGTCATTTTTTTAAATCTTTGTTTTTTAATTTTATGCCAAAATAGCCACCTAAAGCAAGCACCAGGTGTCGACATAACTAAAAATCAATCAAAATTTTAATATTTGGGAGCGCTGAATACAAATTCGATGTCAAAATTTATTTGCCAAAAACGCCACTTTAATGACAGCAAAATTAAAAACGAACGAATTTTTGCATCAGAAACATTGTTTAGGAATTTTTTTGTGACAAGCTAGGGATATTTTGACCTTCCCTATACACTCCCAAGAGTATGCCATATACTGACTAGACACCCTGTATATTATGTTATTTTTTTCTGTTATTTTTAAAACAATTCTAAACACGAAACTTCTACAAGGTTTTGCTTTATAGTGAATAGCTAAACTTTAACAGTTCAAATATTGGCATTTTCATTATCTGAGAAAATGTACATTTCTCTTTGTAGATACCTGACATGGGTCTTAAATCCAACAAATTTCAAGAAAAAAAATGATCAACATCTCCGTGTCGCAATCTATCCACATTTAAGATTTTAAATACTATTTCTTTTATGAGCAGTTCCCATTGATTACAGATTTAACAGCAAACCCAAATTTTTTACTTCAAATACGCGTATACTGTGTGTTAGAACGTTGACTGCCATAATTATAATAAGGGACAGCAAAATAAATATCAAAATGTCCAAGTGGATGTACAAGATATCAGTTAATTAATGTTTGCTACCCTTTCTTTGAATTTGTTTATATTTATTTTCAATAAAATAGCCGGTTTTGTGAATAACATTTGATAAAGGTGATAGGTAGGTATAGCGCAAAATGACAAAGAGTTTATTTCGTAAACACGTTCTTACTCTCAGATCATTTACAGAAATTCGTAGTGGTGGTTTAAAGTAAAATTTTAATTAGGAGAACGATACTAGTAAGTATGCTTAATAGAATTGTCATTCTGCAAATTTACACTGGAAATTTTATTATGTAATTTTAGGAAAATTTACTGTTTTAGATGTTATATTTAAAATTTTACTGCAATTTTTAAATATTTATAGAATTTAGAAAAAATAAGCATTTTTTCGGTTAATTTTAACTTTTAACTGAAAAATAATCAGTTTTTATGCTAAAAGAATCTAGTTTCATAAAAAAACTAGTGATAATCTATAAAATAATCTATTTAAGTAGGTAACTAATAAAAAAATTAATACCTACTTTACAAATTAAAATCGATAAATAACCTTTAAATAATTATGGACATCATTTTTAACAAATACCACTAAAAAATTTGCGCGACAGATGAGATTTGACCTTTTTTTAAGTAGCATCTTTTCGATAGATAACACTGCCACACAGAAAAAAAAAAGTTGGGTATACTTTTTATGCGACATATATTTTTCGTAGTAATTTGGCCTCCTGAACACGAATCTGGGGTCAGAATTGGCCCATCACGTCACAATTTTTTCCTAACCTCAAAAAACTTGTGAAAAATAGTGAAAATTGATGAAAATTTACTGGGAAAATTTGGAAAAAAATTTATTTCCACATCAAATAGTACATTTTTATGTAAAAGACTCTGCTGAATTCAAATCCACTGTCAGAATTGAGCTAGAACGTGTGGTTTTTTTTCTAACCTCAAAAAACCGAGCAGGAATCGCTATTTTCAAATTCTGAGCGGATTTTGACCAGATTTTGTATAAAGGGGTTTTTTGGGTCGCTGATTACGAATATGAATTCACATTGTAAAAATTCAAGATGGCTGATCCAATATGGCGGGTGTACTTTTTTGAAATCCACCGATTTCAGTAAAATTTGGCATCATAAGGATTGCTGGTTGATCTCACCTTCATTAATCACACATCTGGAGCCAGATTTTCATAAATCAAGGTAAAATTTGTAGGCAGAGTCATAATTTTAGGCCGAGTAGGCGGCATTTTTTCGGCAAAGTCACATTTTTAGATTGAAGGCATAAGCAGATGCAGTGATGTGCTGTGTGGCAGTAATGTGTCCTTTTCCTTGAACTTTAAAATTATTAAGAAATAAAAGCATCTAAATGCCATAGGAAAACTGCATAGTAGTTAAAAAAATCTGATTGGAAAACCATAAGCCCATGCACGACTAAATAAATGAAAGAATAAAGTAGAAACTTTTTTGTCTTGTCCCATGGAAACAAGCACATCACACTACACATCATTACATGTGTAGAGTCCTTAAGTCATTTTTTTAAGCGAAGTCACATTTTTAGACGGAGTGGAATCTTTTACCTTGATTTATGAAAATCTGGCTCCAGATGTGTGATTAATGAAGGTGAGATCAACCAGCAATCCTTATGATGCCAAATTTTACTGAAATCGGTGGATTTCAAAAAAGTACACCCGCCATATTGGATCAGCCATCTTGAATTTTTACAATGTGAATTCATATTCGTAATCAGCGACCCAAAAAACCCCTTTATACAAAATCTGGTCAAAATCCGCTCAGAATTTGAAAATAGCGATTCCTGCTCGGTTTTTTGAGGTTAGAAAAAAAACCACACGTTCTAGCTCAATTCTGACAGTGGATTTGAATTCAGCAGAGTCTTTTACATAAAAATGTACTATTTGATGTGGAAATAAATTTTTTTCCAAATTTTCCCAGTAAATTTTCATCAATTTTCACTATTTTTCACAAGTTTTTTGAGGTTAGGAAAAAATTGTGACGTGATGGGCCAATTCTAACCCCAGATTCGAGTTCAGGAGGCCAAATTACTACGAAAAATATATGTCGCATAAAAAGTATACCCAACTTTTTTTTCTGTGTGGCTGTGTAATTATCCAAATTATACAGGGTGATTCACAACATATCCAAAGGAATTTGGGAATAAACGCGTCATGAAAAATGGAGTCAGTATCGTAAAAAAAAATTCGGTAAAATCCTTATAGTTTCCGAGAAAAAAAATTATTGAAGTTGCAATATTTTCAAACTTTACATCGCTGAGCTACTGTAGTCTCTAGCGTCATTCGCCCATGTGGCCTCAGCCGATTCCGAATACTGAAGTCCGATTTTAGTATTATCGTCGTTGTGATAGTGTTTACATTAGTTTTTCAAGTGACAAAAATGGCGTACGTAAATAGCAACTCGGAGTTGATGAACATCGTTTTAATTTATGGTGGGGCACGGCAACATTTGTGTTATGGTGAAGCGATTGTGTTATGGTGAAGCAAGACAACATTTGCGTTAGTTCGTAGAAGCTGGGTAAGACGGGCCTAAATGTGTTTACACGTACAAAATTTTGAACGGTTGTTGTGATATCAGGTATGTCAAATTATTTTATAAATTAAAACCACAGATTAATTTTATTAATTAATAATAACGATAGCGGCAAAAGCAGTTGAATTTGCTGATATAAGATAGGTGTTATAAAATTGTATCTATTTCTTTCCTTGGGAAAGAAATTCTTTAATATTTTTGTCAGTTCATTTTTTATTACACTTTGCCGCAGTACCGATAGCCGACTGCAAGGTCAGGTTGTACAGTGGACCAGTTTCCAGTGCCGTGCGGAAGTGTATTTTTAAATCATTTTCTAACTGCCCTTTTTTATTCTTTTTACAAAATTGTATTTGTAAGGGTCCCCTGTAGATTCAACAATTTTTTTGGATAAGTTCTAAATCACCATGTATATTAAGTATTTATTTGGTTGTTGCTACAAAGTTTCCGATGTCCAGGTAGCGGATTTTTGCCGCTTTCTGTGAAATAACAAAAATCCGTATATTTTTCAACAAGTTCGCGAAAATTGGATTCTGCGCTTCTCGAGAACAATTTGAGTTTAGGCGAGCTGTAATCTATCGTACGGTGATTGATAGTCAAACTTCTAAACATGCTGTATACAAAACTGAACAATTTAACTTCACAAAAACTATTTTAATTTGGAGGAACTGATTGCAAATGAAGTATCTCCCAATCTTTGACCAGTTAAAGCAGATAAAAGTTTTTATTAGCGATATTTGTTCCCCCTAAAACGATAGCGGCAGTGTTTGATTTTCGCTGACAGTCCTTTTTGATAGTAACTTTTGTATATTTTCGTCTACATCATCCAACAACGTAAAAACCAACTGGTGTGCCACCGATAGATATTCCATGATATTTACCTAAAAGTTAATTTACAAAATATCTCTATCTAAAAACTTATATAAAAGAATATGACTTTGACAGGTGCGTATATATTTGTCGTATAACAATTTCTTACTACAGGGTCCACCAAAGATCCAGAGATACACAAACATATCTCCAGAATTCGCTACGTTATACATAATTACGATTCTCTTAAAACCGCCTCTATCCAAAAGAAGGAGGCGCCGTAAAAAATTGCCCTTTCCCTTGTGTACATCAATAGAAACAGCTTACGAGGTATAGTGATACAATTCTCCAGACTTTCTGTTGATCTTCGTGTAAATTGGTTCGTACTTGGTTGGGTCTCCGGCAGGTTTGGAGTGCAGTCTTGTCACGTACGGATTGTGGGGGTTCGACATCAGCTTCACCCCGTTGTGGTGCGTGGGGATGGTGGTGTGCATCCGGGGGTAGACGTTGCAACTGTTCCCGTTCACCATCGTCGTCGGGGCGGTGTTGGTGGTGGTGTGCTGCGGCAGGGGCATGGTGGAACAGTTCGGGTAGACGTTCTGCACCGGCTGAGTCGGGTAGTGCGGCAAAGTGGCGGAACAAGACTGGATGTGAGCCAGGTCCTTCCTGTCCGTGAAAGACGTCATCCTCATGTTGGTGGCCCTGCCGTAGGGGTCCTCTTCCAGGATAGCGGGGGCTATGCACTCGGTTTTGCTTGGGCGGATGGACTTCCTTCTGATGACCTACAGGAAAGCAGGATGTTAAGATTGTTAAACTGGTGATATTGCGGGAAACAACTACTCTGCGGACTAATGCCTAACTTGACAATTGTCTAGAGCCATCGCACAGTGAGAAATGGGAAAAAATTCTACGCACTCGGCTATTTTAACCGTACAGTGGTAATTTATTTTTTATTCTTCTTCAAATATGCTTAATTTTACGATCTTGTTGCGACAATTTGATAAATTTATATAAGAATTTTTTAAATCGAGTGATAACCCATCAACCTCAACACCAAAGATAATAATTCGGTATTTAAAAAACACAAAAAACAATAAAATAAAAAGAAAAAAACAAAAAATATTAAAAATAAATTAAAAAAACATAGAAACGACCCTTTTAAAGAGTGCTACCTTGATGGGATAAAAGGGTTTAAGTCTTAATGTATATAAATAAATTTTATGGTATATCTAAATATCCACTTATTTTTTTGTGGATTTGAGAATAAGTTTCAAGGGTTTGAGGTCAGGTTTTTATGGACATAGCATATGTAGACCAGGCGGTATCTGTTTTGGCTTGGGTGAATCGTATATCCACGGAGATTTTTGGCTTTTTGGCTTTCAAATATCACTAGAAATGAAAATTGGAAAATTGTCATATTTTTCTTCTTATTTAATTATGTATCTTTTTAAGAGTTGATTTTAGGCGATAATGGAAGAGGAAAAAAATGTTTGTAATTAAATTTTTTATAATACATGACTGGTTACAAATCGAATGAATCATGATTATTATGGTAAAAATCGAAAAAATC